GTCTTGGGTATACGATAGGATTGAAACGTATCCAGATTTACTCATAAAGTGGCATTCTACACATCTGAACGGGAAAAATCTGAGTTTGTCAAAATTAGTTTGCCTGTAAAGACTTATAAAGTATTTGGTACGTGAAACGGCTTCATGCAAGAAACTGAAGAGTGTATGGCTGAGCATTTCTCCAATATTATATTGCCAGATATTTATGAGTTTGACAAGGATGTTAAAATCTCAAAGTTGTAGTAACCCACTCTGCCACTATCTGAAGTCATTGTTAGTCGAGCTGGCAGATTATAATACCATTACCAACCTTTTTAGTAACACAAGAACAAAAATAAAACAAACCAACCTTTTCTCGTTTCCATATGATTTTTGTGCTACTTTCGCGTGAAATATGGAGATGATGCAGTCATACTGGTCCCGATTGCAAAGATATTGTGCCATTCTTTCACTGAAAGCGATAGGCATAAGCTTCAGTTCGTGGACGACACATCAAATAAAAGAAAACTGCCTCGTCAATGGCTGTGGAGTTTCGCCTATTGCGAGCTGTAACGGTGCAGAGTGTACCACCGGTTGGATCAAGGATGAATATGGCCCAGATGATCCATTGAAATCGCTGCCAAGAAACGATGAGGATGCCGAAACATTGTAGAATTGATCTGAAATGATTGCACTTTTGCATCGGTTGTCTAAATCGAAACCACCCACGAAGTGCGGCTGCTTGTATGTACGTATTATGAGCGCAATCGCTTTGATCATGGTTCCCATAGTTCGATGCTTTGTACCTCGCACAACAATGAAGTTACCGATGCAAAAACGTAGCAGGCCCATATAATTCAAATATGCTTCTGGTGTATGCCGCTTTTATTCAAACTATTCATAGTTACAATAACTCGTGAAATTTTTCACTTTCTACATGGAAAACAATCTTTAAAAGATATTACGGTGATCAAGCGATATTGTCTTCAGCGAAAAAACATCACCGTAAAGTTGGATCTTGTTGCAGACACTGTTGTTGTTATAGACCTGTTGTAACACACTTTAATTACTGTAGAGAAATTCTTTTAGGCCCAATCTTGGTGATCCTAGATGCCAGCTAGTTTTCTACTCTAGAATGCCTGCACAGCTTGATAAACGAATGATATTTAAAGTATAAACTTGTTCTTCTGAATGATTACTAGAGAAGATAGACTAAGCAAAATGACGGGCAGTGATGATTTCAAACGAATTGAGATCTAAGTATCACTATGCCTCCCTGAGTTCGCCTTGGTGTTTACAAGCTTTATTATGTCCCACCTCTTCAGAACAATTCTTCAGAATTTCCCTTCGGTAAACAAGGAAACATAAGAAAAAGGTAGCAAAAATGAAGTTTTGGAAAGCTAACTGACTTGCTCTTCAGTCACACATGATGTTCGCTCACAAAATTCTACAGAAAGTAACACCAATCATGACTACCGAATGTAGTCTTAGCATTGCGCTGCAGATATAATGAATAAGTATTCATTTTGAGGTTCACAG